TCAAGATTTTACCCCAATGTTTTTTTTCCAGGTCCCTCTGAATTTTTCTCCCGCTCTGTCCTCAAGCTATGTTACTCAATCTTTCCCCCCATGCTTATTAGATGTACTTCGAATTCCCCCTCTCATTTTCAGATAGAAGAAGGCTGAAATAATGAAGATTACAAAGACAAAAAGAAATCTCTGCCAACACCAGATGTTGTGGGTGACTAGTTGAGTTTACACAAATATTGTTCTGTTAGCACTATAAAAGGGAAGTGAACTGCCAGGTTAATCTATCTAACCACCTGAGATTTCAGAGACATGCAGTTTGGATGCTCTGACACACATATCAGCTTGCCTTGGGCTGGGTGGATGGATTTCATGCTGGAAACAGGAGCAGCCTGTACATGAGGCAAGGTGAAGCCATTTGCCTCAGGTGGCAGATTTGACTCCTGTCCCCTCCCCGGCCCTGCCACTGTGCTGCTGCCTGGGGCTTCCTGCACTGCTGACACAGCACTGTTGCCCTCATTTCTGTGCCCACTGTGCCCTCACCGCTGCCATTGTGTCGTAGCAGCACTATAGGTGCTGCCACAGGTGAGGATACAGTTGTGGTGATGGAACTGGCAGTACTGTGCAGGGAGGCAGAGGGGACCCAGATCTGCAGGGGCAGCAGCGTTAGGGCAGGGGCCTATAGCAGCAAAACGTCTCTGGCCAGCCCTGGATGAGAGGATGAAGTTATGTGCTCAGCAAGTAAGCATCAGGAGCAAGAGGGTTCTGGGGGCTAACATATGACGGCATGAGGGATGTCATCCCATCTGAGGCTGGTCTGAAAATGTGGTCTGCTTTGAGTGGCGAAAAGTTTCTGGGGACGATAAGTTAAATTCTTCAGGGGAGCGAACTCTTGTCTGACAGAATGTCTAATTTCCGTAATTATTTTAACTGTGTAATGCATTTTGTTCTGTTTTATGCATTTTAGCTTTTGTAATGGCTACAGCTAGACAAAATTAATTAATTAATTAATCCTATGTTGGAGATGTACCCAGAAACAGGTGGGGTGGGGTGGGGACAGAACTCAACAATCTGTACTGAAAAGACCTCTTGATTTGACGTTGGAAGCATTTCCCCCCTCTGCTCCTTTGGCACACAATCATGACCACATACTTGCCCATGTCCATAACACCCTTACTTTTGCTATAGCTCTGATTTATAACGAAGCCTTTGACCCGCTAAACCTAATACACTGTAAAATCAATTTTATACCAACCATATGAGTGTTTCCTGTGTAAATTAATAAACCTTTTCCTTTTGCCTCTGCAAACCAGGCCTTTCACCCCTGTCTTTAAATCTTTTTATTAACTGTATTAATTATGTTTAAAGGTGCTTCTTTAACTACTAGCGACAATCCATTGCCACCACACTATAAATAGTTCAATTTCATTAGGAATGACTAACAGAAATGCAGTTTCTTCCCTCTCTCCTAGACTGCAGAAGGTTCCACCTACACTTAAGCTTTCCCCCTCTTCTTTTAAATTGCTTACACAGAAATTTCCCCCTCATATCGTTAAACTGTTTGTTGCAGTTTTTCAGCCAAGCTGAGCACTTGAAGCCTGGAAATGTTAGCTATATTTTTAACTACAAACATGCATACACAAAGGGTGTACTCCAAATGAGAGTGGGTGTGATTTATCCACCAATTTCTCCCTCCCATTTTATCCAGAAGTATTTCCCCTCTGGCATCTAACCACATCATCCTCTAAGTTTGTTCTTTGTCTTCTTTTAAAAAAGAGAAGCCGGTGGCATGTTCTAATTGCTTTGGTTTTTCTTATGATTTAATCATTTCATGTGTGATAAAATGGTTTTTGGATTGTGCTGCCATTTCAAGACCTTCCACCACTGTCAGAACAGGAAATGATGGCTCTTAACTTTTACAGGGGACACAGGTGGTGCTATGGGTTAAACCACAGAGCCTAGGACTTGCCGATCAGAAGGTCGGCGGTTCGAATCCCCGCGATGGGGTGAGCTCCCGTTGCTCGGTCCCTGCTCCTGCCAACCTAGCAGTTCGAAAGTACGTCAAAGTGCAAGTAGATACATAGGTACCGCTCTGGTGGGAAGATAAACGGCGTTTCCGTGCACTGCTCTGGTTTCTCCAGAAGCGGCTTAGTCATGCCGGCCACATGACCCGGAAGCTGTACGCCGGCTCCCTTGGCCAATAAAGCGAGATGAGTGCCGCAACCCTAGAGTCGATCACGACTGGACCTAATGGTCAGGGGTACCTTTACCTTTTTAACTCTTACAGCGACCAATCACTAGACAGTTCTGCCCTCAGCTTCATCCATGAGCATCACCCCAACCCCTGTAGCACTCAGCAGAGTGCTTACAGCTAAGAAGCTACAGCAAAACTGCACAAGATGCTCGAGTGAGTATAAAAGGACCATGTCCCAATCCAAGAGATGAACTTCTGTCTCCCAGTCTCAGTATGATACAGCAGGCAGAAAGAAGAATGTTAAAGCTCTTCCAGACAACATGTTTATTCAGGATTTATCCTGATTACCTTACACTGTGGTTAGACTATGTTTGTACTTCACTGAACATTTGTTCTGATTTGTTTACAGGGTGGGCATATGGCAGTGAACATTAATCTCCATTTGCTTGCAGTGTGTATGTGTGTGCCTGTGTCAACATGCGACAGTGGCCACACCCCAGGAAATGGCTTCAAATGCCTGGCTAAACCAGGTGTGGGTAGCTGTTGGGTCTCAAACCCTCAGTGAGTTAGGGACTTCCCCTTGCATGTGAAGACAGGCTCTGGTGGATTGAGCAGATGAGACCAATTGTGGACCCAACTGTCAAGAAGGTAGTGTCTGCAGTGCTGCAGAGGGAAGCGAGGAGCAGATGGGGCTAATCTACCTGGGAAGGTAGACCCCTTCTAGGTGAAGGAAAACTCTGATCCTAAACCTCCACTGCCTTGTGGGATATCTTTGGGAGAAGAAAAATCTAACGAGTAAACCCCACACAAATCTAGAATGGAGTCCAAGGTGGTGCAAAATGCATTGCTCTGCTTTCCTTTGGACCACACCAGCGAAGCCATGTGTAGGGTGGTCCTGTCGTCTGGCCAGCCCAGGACCTCCATGCACATTGCCCAGGCTTGCGTCCTGCAGAGGTCACTTCAGTGCTGCTGCTAACACAGCACTTTGACTTCACCCCTGGAGGTGCACTCCATTGTCTCTCAAGACAGATGGATGCCGACAACGAACCTGAAATACACCCACTACCAGCAGGAGTCCGTGCACTTGCCATGCACTTGACTTCCCTAATTGTTTCTGCTTACCGAGAAGGGGAGGTGCAGTGTGCTGGGAACTCAGTGCAGTGCTGGCACAGCAGCAGGAGCACTGGACTGGCTCTGCAGTTGCACTCCCACTGCACTGTGCTCCTTCTTCCTCACCCCTCTCCCTCTTTGTAAGCAGCACTGGTGCTCACCATCAGGAAGCCGGGTCTGCAACACCACCCTACCTTCTTTTATTTTATTTATTTATTGAAATTATATACCACCCTCTACCCGGAGGTCTCAGGGTGGTTCACAGAAAATATCACAATATATAAGATCAAAATAAAAACATTAACCCAATGACACCCCCCCAACTGCTGCTGGCTATTATGCACACAAACATGGTAATAATATGTGACCTAAAGCATTCCTCATCCTCACTGTGGACGAAGCATACATGCATACAGATAAACATATGTATGTATGTCTTGTGTTACATATTATGGACCAACCCTCCAGCATTTACAGGATTTCCAACCACTGATTGTGTGAAGTGGCCTTTTGTTCCCGAAGAATATCTTTGTTCGTGTAACTTCTTCAGCTGCACTGAATGGAGAAATAAATGCAAGTAAGAGCTAGAACAAATGATTCCCTCTCTCATTGTGTAGCTGGTTAAAAACAACACAACCACCAACCTAATTCAAATAACATTTTCACCTGAAGAAAAACATCTTTCAGAAAAGGGCACAATCTTTCAGGCTTAAGAACCAAATGCAGACAGATGATGGCATGTCTGCAGAGAAATCAAAGGGGAGGCTGCCTGTGAGCCACAGATTTATCCATTTTTATTAGGGATAGCTCTGAAATTCTCCCTCATCCAAATTAACTCAATTAACACATGCACATAGGTAGCACAGAGGGGTGGAAAGGATACAAATGAGAGACTGGAAGAACAACAGAGGAATCGGGGGAGGGAATGGGATATCTGCCCACCCCTCATTTTTGATCAAAGCTGTCAAAAATAGTACTGTTCTCTTTTGAACACATCATCTAGCACAGTTCTGAAATCAGACTACCAATCTGAGCATAAAAACATGATGTTTTAGTGATATCAGCAATACATGTTGCCCCTGCAATGTGCTGCCCTCCAGAGACAACAAACACCAGCATGAAAGAAAACTATTCTGGAACCAACCAAAAGTTCAGCCTTAACATCCATACCTGATGATGCATGAAGACTTTATTCTGGGCTTCTGAGATGCATCGATGTAGCAGAATACAAAACGATTTTCACTTGCTAGGTGGACTGGACAGAACAGTGTTGCCGTAATAATCTCTTGACTATTGTGTGCATTGCAGCTATCATCACATACTTTTAGGTCCTTCATAAAAGGCCCAAATGCCACTCACAGCAGTTGGCAACTAGGCGAGCAAATAAAATTTACTGCTTGCAATAAAGGCAAGTCAATAAGTCTTGTTGTCCGTTTCATCCTTACAGGAGGGCAGCAGAATAATGGCTGGTAAGTGTCAAGCCCTTTCAATTATGGCTTCAGAATGATGGAGCCTTCCTTAAAGGGTTAGAAGAATAGGTTTTTGGAGAGGTTGTAATACCTGTTTCTTTCATCTATCCTTTTACCTGAAGTGTTATTACCCTTGCAGTTTCTCCTGTATCCCTTTCAGTTTTTCTATTTCTAATTGTGGTGGCTTGTGTTACAGTATTTTATCTTATTTAAGGCCATCTTTTTTCATTTTGTAAACCGGGGCTGCGGCTCAGTGGTACAGCATCTGCTTTGCATGCACAGTGTTCCAGGTTCAATCGCTGGCGTCTTCAGGTAGGGCTAGAAAACACTCCCTGTATGAAACCCTAGAGAACAACTGGCAGTCATTGCGGACGATATTGAACTAGCTGAACCAGCGGTCTGGCTCTGTATAACACAGCTTTCTATGTGGAGTTTTTTTTTTTTTTTTAATAGCTGCAAACCTTTTGGGTTGCCAGAACAAGTGGCATCAAGTATATGTCTGTTCCTGTGAAACTGGGACCGATTTTAGGGATTCTGCTGGTTTCCTACATGCCTCACTGCCCAGCAGTCTCCCTGCCTGAGCTGGTCTCAGAGGCAGTATTGAGGACTCCCAGACAGCTGGTTTTGGGGGATTTCAACATCCAAAGAGTGGGTCTGGGGTGGCTCAGGACTTTGTGGCAGCCATGATGACCATAGGGTTATTCCAACATGTCACTGGCCCAATGCATATGACGGCCCATATTCTGGACCTTGTTTTCTCAACTGGGCAGGAAGAGGGTGCTCTGAAAGTGGGGGATGTTGACATCAGTCCCTTGTCATGGTCAGATCTGAAGAAGTGTGAATGCACACGAAAGCTCATACCAATAACAAACTTAGTTGGTCTCTAAGGTGCTACTGGAAGGAATTTTTTTATTTTGTTTCGACTATGGCAGACCAACACGGCTACCAACCTGTAACTAGATCACTTCCTGTTGAGATTTAGACTTTCAGCACCCTTTCCCCTCTGCAGAGGCAGGGAACTTATGAGTATGGTATCCCTCAGAGGCTAATGGATCTAATAGGTTTCCAGATGGCTCTGGGGGATTTTCCAACTGATATAACTGGTGCACCTGTCAAATGTCTGGCTGACCTCTGGAACATCCAAATGGCTTGGGCCAGTGACACAATTGTCGCTGAGGGCCCTCTCCCCCTTCGTGGAGCCTGCTTGGCTCTCTGGTATATTCCAGATCTTAGGATGAGGAAAGAAGCTGGGAGATGGCTTGCACACAAGTGGAGGAAAACTCTGGTTGAATGCAACTGAACACTGGTGAAGGCTCATCATTGAGCCTACCTAGTGGCAGTGAAGGTAGCAACGAAGGTATTGTTTGCTGTGTTCACTGCATCCTTATTGTGCCGTCCAGCAGAGCTTTTCTAGGTGGTGCAAAGGAGGTGACAGAACCGACGGTAGCTCATTTTGACTTGCAAAGCATTTTTTAGGATAAAATTGCTTGCAACTGCCAAGACCTTGACTTCACTGTTGATGCAGATGAATCTCAAGGTGTCCAGATTACTGTCTAGTCCTGTTATGTTGGATGAGGTTCAGTTAGTAAGGCTTGGGGATATGGGCAAGGTGCTTAGATTGGTCAGGGTGACCACTTATGCTCTGGACCCTTGCCCCTCTTGGGTGATAAAAACTAGAAGGAAAGGGGCAGATAGCTGGGCCAGGAAGGTGATTAATACCTCCTTGTGATAGGGGGTGGTCCCTGCCTGCTTGAAGGAAGAAGTGGTAAAACCACTCTTCAAGAAACGCTTCCTAGATTTTGGAAAATCTTAGTAATTACTGGCCAATTGCCAATCTCCCCTTCTGCACTTCTTCAGCTGTGTCCCATAGTGAAATCCATCTACTTTCTCCTATAGAAGTCAAAAGGAACCACTGAGAACTGAGCCAACCCCTATCTGCATAACTTCCCCCTGAGTTCTGTTTCTCAGACATGTAAATCAGGCATCCCCAACTTGCGGCCCTCCAGATGTTTTGGTCTACAACTCCCATGAGCCCTAGCTAACAGGACCAGTGGTCAGGGCCAATGGGAATTGTAGTCCAAAACATCTGGAGGGCCGAAGGTTGGGGATGCCTGCACTAGATCATCATGGAATGTTGGGAGAAGACAAAAAGAGAAAATCCTGGAAACTGGCTATGACAGACAGACCAACTGACCAATCAATCAATCAATCAATCAATCAGATGCTTCTGTTTCTTTCCTAGATGTTTTACGGCCCCCAAAATAGGGTCAACTTTTAAAAGATCCAGTCCCCTTCCCCCTCCATCGCAGTCAGCTGCACAATGAATAACCAATCCAACATAACTGCAATATTAATAGTAAGTGATTTCTTAATAGTAAGTTAAACAGTGGAGGAGTAACTTCTTATTGCCTATTCCCAAATGATACTTAATGCCTGTGGGAAGAATTTAACTGAATGTTCAGTCTAAATTTTGCTGAGCATCTAATTTCTGATTATATATTTCTAATTTAACACTCTCTGCCAAATGCCCTGTAGTGGAACTGAAAGGGCTTTCTTAAAATGACAAGTCTTCTTATTATTTGTATAGCAGGCCAAATCTTCTTTTTCCAGTCAATTTTTGTATGGAGAGTTGAAATAAATTGCCAAGCATTTGAGAGTAAAGGCCAAGTTTCGTAGTGAGAGAAATAAACCACCATATATTTCATTAAGACTGAATTATCCCTTCAGCCCTACCAATGATTTCAGAACAACATCCTGAGAATATAGGGAAGGAAATTTGGACAACTCACTCTTCTTGCCATATATACTGGGCTTCTATCTGCCTACAGACCATATTGCGGGTACATAGAAGCGTTAACATAATTGCATTGTGAATGGCCAACTCTAATTACTTTACAAACATTTACGCTCTAATATAATTATCATAGCCTGTGCTTTTTGCATCACTCAGCTTACATTTTCTCCCTCTACATCAATGTGTGTGAATCAACCTTTTTTTTTTTTTTTTTGCATTTAAGATGATGCTTTTTGAAAAATGTTTTAAGTTCAAAATAGGGGTCGTCTTATACATGGAAAAATACAGTACATCTAGAGACCATCCAATGTAGGATAATTTCATGTATCTGATGCAGCGGTCTCCAGTCCAAGAAAGCTTGTGCCATGACAAAATGGTTAGCCACAAGACTCTTGATGGTGTTTGCTGCAACAGCCTAATGCAGAGAAAATATGAAAAGGGAGTCAATGGTGTTAAACAATTGTGTTTGTGTGTGTGATGCCATCGGGAAACCCATATGAGTATAGAAAAATGCAGCCATTATCCTTCAGCACCTTCACAGTTTCTAAGGCTGTCATTGCTGTATTAGCAGCAGCACCTGAACTGGATGACCCAAATTCATTCAGTTCAATTTAATGCTTAACCGTCCAGTTTCTAGAAGTTGGTGAATTCAAAGGTTTCCTAACCCAATCTATCCTAGTTGAATGAGAGTTCAATGAAGGGTTGCTCAAGCAATCTAATTGGTTGGGATTTTGGCTGTGGGGCAGATGGTGAAGAAAGCCCTCCAGAGATAAAACACACATGGAAGAATGAGCAGCTTGCTTGGCATTGCTAGGTGAAGAAAATGTTAATAAGGGTGGCTCTAGCTGCAAAGCATTGCTTTTAGAATGTAATTCCTTTGCAGGGAGTAATTTACGCTGTAAGATTTCAAGCTTACCCCAAATAGCTTCCTGCTTTTCATTAGGTGGATTTACAAAGGAACTCAATAGATTCTCCTCAACATGCTCTTGACACCTCAGAAACAGTAGAGCAAAGAGCTCCCAGGGCTTGTTCATCCCTACCTCTGAGCATGATGGCAGCTTATCACTCTTCCCTGTCATCTGTGAGGGTTCATGCTTTAAAGCAGAACCATGATGAACATAGTTGGCAGTTTGGGGGTTCATTAAGGAGGGAGTGGTATGGTTACAAAATAAGGGAGAGATAGTTTCTGCCCTAAACACTTGTTTAGGGAAAACCCCAGCTGCAGCTAATAGCTTTCTTCCTTTCTCTTGAGATCTAAGAAGTTAAGGAGGGTTAAACATAAAAAAAAAAAATCTCTTTAGAACCTGGGAATGAAGGAAGAGACATTAATTGGATCAAATCAATTCTAGATGGAGGCAAATGTAAATGAGTACCAAGAATTTTAAGGAGTGAGGTCATGTTATGTCATGCCCTGTGAAACCTTGTAGACAAGGTTAAAACCACCTGATTCCTAACGTACGTAGGTAAGGCTAGTAGATAGTTCTAATGTCCTGTCCTAAGGTTACCTTTCCTCCCAGAAAAGAACAATACAGTCGTACCTTGGAAGCCAAACGGAATCCGTTCCGGAAGTCTGTTTGACTTCCAAAACGTTTGATAACCAAGGCATAGCTTCTGATTGGCTGTGGGAGCTTCCTGCACGCAATCGGAAGCTGCGGAAGACATTTGGCTTCCAAAGAACATTCGCAAACTGGAACACACACTTCCAGGTTTGCGGCGTTCAGGAGCCAAAATGTTCAACTTGCAAGGCGTTCAACTTCCAAGGTACGACTGTACATTCTCTTTTTTGGTTTGGCAGTCTAGGCTATTCCCTGTCACAGTAATAACATCAGATTCAAATCCCATGACTAAAAAAAGAGGTGGTTCATGGGAAACCTAAACAACATTGCTGCGAGTTTCAAAAGATTTCATTACCAAAGATGTACCAGGTATACAATATCAAGAGAACAATACGCAATCAGAACAACAACAGTCTTATTGAAAGACAAACCACAAGCTATGTATGCTTCAGTTGCCCCTATTTATCAGAAATAGTCCTTTTCAGACACCTGTCTCTGACAAATCATTGTTTCAATACTAACTTTGGGGGGAGTGGTTTTGGGATACTTCTCCCCCCGCATTCTTTTTTGTCTGTGTGTATGGGCACTTGAGTTATCACTTGCCATTCTTCAGGGTCCCTGGCCAAATGGGACGTCAAACAGCTCAGTGTGGGGGTTATGCTTGTTTATTCTAGAACAGAGTGGGGGAACTTGTGGCGCTGCAGATGGTGTTGTATGCTCTCGTCATCCCTGACCATTGGCCATGCTGGTTGGGAGTGAGTCCAACAACATCTGGAAGACCACATGATACGAACAGTAATGCACGATACAGAGAAGAATGTGCCATCAGGGCGAGGCCATGATCTGTAGTGTGAGAATGCAGGTGCTACAAGTACACAAGTATATCCTTATTTCCACCCAATGAAATGTTGGGAGTTATGAAGGCACGTGTCACATATATTCAAGTTCAAATCCCATCAGG